TCTCCCTCTGCCTCTCTCTCTCTCTCTGTCTCTCATGAATAAATAAATAAAATCTTTAAAAAAAAAAATAAAATGCATCATTCAATAGTTTTTAACATAGTCCCAGGATTGCGCAACCTTCACCCCAATCTAATTTGAGAATGTTTTCAGCACCCTGAAGAGAAACCCCATCCCTGTTAGCAATCACTCCTTGCTCCTCAATGCCTCTCCCAACCTGACCCCTGGCAACCACAAATCTAATTTCTGTCCCTGTGGATTTGCCCATTCTGGACATTTACTATGGGGGGAATTACACAACGGACATGTCTTTTGTGGCTAGCTTCTTTCCCCAAGTGTCGTGTTGATCTGGTCACTTTCGCAAGGAATGCCTGTTTTTTAATTAATGGCTAGGATGCAATGTATTCTTCTAAAACAAACTTCTTTCAATTTTCCCAATTAAGGGAATTGATCATTTGCTCAAGATACCAGTTATCCATGGGAGGTGGGCTGTTCACTAGAACTTTTGGGAAAACACAGTGCAAATCCTGTCCGAGGGCCTGGGGGCTAACTTTGCTGTTGGTTCTCTGATTTGGGGAACTTTTCCTCCCCCCTCCCCCCTCCCCTCTCCCCTCTCCCACAGCCACCAAGCCCCTTCCTCCATCCTCCCTGACTGTTCTCAGAAACCCCCTGCATGAAGGAATTTGGGGGGTGGGTGTGAGCTGAGCAAAGTCTTTGCAAACAAATGCTTAGTCCCCTCTATTCAACAAACTCAGAAGGACAGCTGTGGTCTCAGCTTTTCTCCAGTCGTTTTGTCCAGAAGCAGCATCTACAACGAGTTTAATTATGCAATTAAAGTCATTTTCCTGGGCTGAACAAATATTTACAGCATATTTTGCTGCAAATTGCTTCGCCTGGAGAAAGGTTCTGCCGAGCGGGCTGGTGCGCCTGGCGTACATCCACACATTTACATAGCCCATTACCAGGGGGCCACACGGCGCTGAGCAGGTGGCAGACAAGTGAGCCCCCAGGAACAAGCATCAGTGCAGAAATGGTGACAGGTGTCTGCAAAGCAAATGTGTTCCTGGCCCCGCCACGGTGCTGCCGTGGACTGATGACGTCCATTATTTCTCTGTGGCAGCCCAAAATCCCGGCTCTGCAGCATCAGAGAAAACCTCTGGACTCCGTCCCACTGCTGGGGGGCGGGGGGGGCGCAGATGGCAGAGAGAACATCGTGCGTGGAACAGCTCTGTAAAAATCAGAGCCACGTCCATCATGCAGTGGTCCCGGGAGGTGGTCCTTGACAAGAACCCGTGTGTGGAACCTCTCCCAAGGGACCCCCCTGTGTTCAGTTTCCTGTCCAAGCGGGGACAGGAAAACTCAAGGCAAAACTTCAGAAAAGCAGAAAAAAGTCACTTTCTTTATTTTACTCCCTCTGGGCTTTTTTCCATCTCAAGCTCCCATTTCACCCCAAGGAGGAAACTTCATCGTAGTTCATTGGGGTGATGTCAGCTGACTCAGGGTCTTCTCAGCTTGGGGGGATCCTCCCCCTGCCCAGCTCCCCAGTCTGCTGCAAAGGTCTGGGTGGAGGCTCGTGCGGTATGAAGGGGTCGGCGCTGGGGGAGGACAGATGCCACTGGTGGAGACAATGACTGCCAGGGATAATCCAGACCCAGGTTTGGGAGCCCCTCGGCTGAGAAGGTCTGGGTGTCCCATCATCCCAAGATGGATGAGCGGGGGGCAGTTAGGGAACCAGTGGGATGATTTCAGCTTCTCACCTCTAGCGCGACCATCCTGAATGTCAGCCCCGAGGGGAGTGAGGGCTGGTCCTGTTCCCACCTTGGCCTGGGTGGCGGCTGCTTGGGTCCATGTGTGCCCCCCAAGCCTGCCCCCAGCGACCCTGTGTCCTTCCCAGGGACAGCCCCCCAGAGCCACTCAGGAACCCAGGGCTGGTCAGCCATGGGCCAGCTGCCGTGAGGGACAGCGAGCTCCCCGTCCCTGGTGTTGCATGAGCTCAGCCCACAGTAAAGACCTAGAGCAGAGCAAACACGTGCCTGCTGAGTGTCAGGCCCCTTCCTCACATCATCCCATTTGACCTCCTCAGCCCCCTGAGAAGGTACGGTCATGGTGCCCATTTTACAGTTGGGGAAATGAGGCTCGGAGTTTTGTGCAATCACCGGAGAGTACGCTGGTGACTCACACCCAGACCCTCCGGACCCCAGAGTCCATGCTGAGCTGGGTTGTTTTGTTTTATCCCCGTCAGACCCCAGCAAGGGTGTTATTGTCCTATGACACCGATAAATGTCACTTTGGGTGACACCACTGGCCAGAGGTCGAACTGGGATGTGTCCAAGGTCGCCAGTGTTTACTGCCCCCTGGGAAAAGCAGGAGGGCGGGGGCAGGTGGGGGAAGGCAGGCCCTTTCCCATAGATGATAGAACCTGGTGCCTTATTTACCGCAGTTGGTGACCGTGATGGCCAAGGTCGTGATCGTGTGCCCTCTGCAAGGGAGCAGGTCAAGGGAACCTCCAGGGCCCGTGCCCGGTGGTCTTAAAGCTTTAGAAGGAGCATGCTGTGTGGCACCCAGAGGGGCGAGTGGGCAGCCTGGGGGCTCTGGGTGAGGATGGACCTGAGGAGAGAGGGTAAGAAGAGTAAAAACTTGTGAGCCCCAAACGTGCCCCTGGCAGGCCCCACCCCGCCCATCTGCCCCGCTGCCCCTGGCTGCCTCGAGTGAGCTTAAAAGCGGCTCTGTCGTCCCTTTTCAGTATCTGCTGTGTACCTACTGTATTCTGGGCTTTAACCCAGTCTCCAGCACAACTCCAGGAACCCACGGGGGCCAGAGGGCAGCACCCACGTTGGATTCCGGTGGAAGGTATCAGCCCTAGTTGGTCTGGGCTCGTGTGTGCTGGGAGGGGGCAGACCAGGAATCCACACCCACAAACCACCTGGGCTTTGTCTGTCTTTCTGCCTTGCAGGGACCGGGGCACCACGTGGTAACATGGGCAAACAAGGTCATCGCGTCCTTCGTTATTGTAGTCAGAGGTCCCAGCACAGAAACCAGGACCTGCAGGTGGATGGAACACAGTTGGCACCGTTTGGGGAAAGTGAGTCAAGGGCCAAAGGCAAGGGTTGAGTCCTTGTGTTTCCTTGAACACTTTTTTTCTGTTTAAGGCACTCCTTCTGGGCTGCTCCCCAGACTCCCAGGGCCTGGTGGCAACGTGGTCACATGCCAGTGCGCTGGGCACGTGGATGATGCTGCGCAGGGATGTAACATCTTCCGAGATGGCCAGCTTTGCCATGAGGATCAGAAGCCTGCTGAAGGCCCAGAACAGGGCATCTTAACAATGGCCCCCAAACTCTACCTGGAAGCCCCTTGGCTTCCAGGGGTGGGGTGGGGGAGGAAACGCTCGGAGCCCAGCAGGGGGCAGAAAAACAGAAGCCCGGTACCCTGGGTCCCAGCTCTCCCCAGCCTGGGGTGGACGCTCCCCTGCTTTGTCTCCCTCAGACATTCGGTTTCTGAGTCAGAGCACATGCCAAGCAAGGGTTCTGCTGCGAAAAGAAAAAAACAGGTTTGAAAGCCACCAATTTAAATTAATACAGCGATAACATTTAATTGCATTAAACGGTTTTTTCCCCATCAGTTGTTTTGGCATTAGAACATGACACTTTGTCGGGAGAGCTGGGTCAGCGCTCGGCTCTTTAAAGCGAAAGAACGCTCTGGTTGCCGTTTCCCAGCTCTGAGGGACGCTCCTGGCCTCAGTTTCCCCATCTATGAGATTGAGATGCTCTCGGCTTCACCTTCCATGCGGAGCAAGGCACCAAGGAGTTTAGGGCAATGAGCGAGTTTGCAGGCAGTGGAAGCAAGGAAAGCCGAGATGCCAGGGTGTGGTGATTAATCTGAGAACACGCAGCTCGCTGGAAGGGTGAGGGGTCAAGCCGCGCTCACTGCCTGTGTCTGGACGGGGAGACAGCAGGCCGAGGACGCCGTGTTTATCTGCCGAATGCATGTGCCAAACCCAGCTTCGGGGTCGTTTGCGTTGTTCCTGACCACCCAACAAACCTGTAAGCCCAGGGACCAGGTGAGGGCTTGAGGCCAAACCACGCCCCCTGTTTCTCTCAGGGCCACCCACAGTTGGCACACTGCTCAGTATACAGAAGGCGCTCAATGAATGCTCGCACCATGGAACTCCGCTTGGCTTTCTCTCTACTCTCCTCCCTTGTGGATGACAGTTGAGAAAAGCGTTGGTCAAAAAGTTTACTGACAAAAGCCCGTGAAATTGGCCTCAATTTCCTCAATATGGGAGGCTGAGCCCCCAGACCCAAACTTTTGCCAAAAAGCACATTTTAAATTCTCCCACTTAGTGACACAAGACCTACCATTTAATGACACTGACTAGTGGCTTCTAGACACTAACTGGTGGTTAATTCAGAAAACCCAAACTGTGGTGCTGCGGTACCCTTGGGTGACATTCTCTCTGCTCCCACTTCCCATCTGGCTCCTTTCTGTTCCTCCATCTCGCCCCCCCCCCCAGCTCACTCCCTCCTTAGGGACGATCCTGATGTCCCCACCTCCTTTGGAGGGGGTTCCGACCACACGATGTTTCGTCAGAGAATTCCTTGCTTCTTGGTGGCCCAGATAAGAAAAACCAAGCAAATGAATCCATCTTCTCTACAAAAGTTTATTTTGTAATTTTTCCAAGAAGAGTTAGGGGAAAAAATTGGAATTACATCAAGGTAAGTAACAAGGGCATATAAAAATAATTTAAACACACATATTAATAATAAAGCAACCTTTCTTTCTAGCAACAACTAGTGGAGAATCTTGCCCAAGATTTTTCCAAAGGTATTATATACATCTTAGATAACAAGAAATACAGACACACACGCGCACACACACACACACACACACACATTCACACACCCATCTATACAGCTCAAGTATTTTATCGGTGCATTCCAGCTAACTGATAGAGCTACAGTGATAAAAAAAAAAAAGTCTAATGCATAGTGTCTTCGGGGTTGAACAAATGTGCATTGGAGAGTGAATTTTGGAGACATGCTAAGATTTCCCTCCCTGATCTCACAGTTACTAGCCTATACTCTGTGGTCTTATCTGAAACCTGAATCTGCTCATCCATGTGGTCATTACAGTAGGACGGGTGGTGTCGGTTCAGGACGTCCCACTCGCTCTTCCTCCCAGCATCTCTCATGGACTGGAGAGGGGGGTGATTTCACAGGTGAAGCCCTTGGGTCTGATTACATCTGGCTGATCCTTTGCTTCAGGGCAAGGACCTCTCTCTCGATTTCACAGGGGAGATCGGTGTTAACCTGCTCCTCTAGGTACTTCTGGATGTCTTCCACCTCCTTCTCCCAGAACTCCTTGGAGAGGTGGAAGAGCTCCTTCGTGTTGATGTCCCCCAGGCCTGTCAGGTTCAGGGCCCCCTCCTCGGGGACGTAGCCGATGGGCGTGAGCTTGGCGCTGGCTTCCCCACTGATGCGGTTGAACATCCACTCCAGCACCCTGGAGTTCTCACCAAAGCCTGGCCAGAGGAATTTGCCTTCCTTGTCTTTCCGGAACCAGTTGACATGGAAGATCTTGGGCAGCTTGGCTGCTGGGCGCTGGGCCATGCTGAGCCAGTGGGCCAGGTATTTGCCAAAGTTGTAGCCAAAGAAGGGCCGCATGGCAAAGGGGTCGTGCATGATGACCTTGCCTATTAACAGAGAGGGGGGTGGTGCTGGTAAATGCTCTCATAGGGCAATATCGGTACCATTTATTGTTGACATAAGCACGCGTGGCTTTGTCTCTCTCGCACTACACATACGGACTAGCAGAGACAGACAGAGAGACAGAGAGCAGGCCAGTCACTCTCTGTGGTCGTAGATTCTTCCCTTTGATTTACCTTGGTGTTCTGCAGCCGCTGTGGCCTCTGATCGCATGGCCGCCCCCACAAAAACTCCGTGTTGCCAACTGAGAGCTTCATAGACCAGGGGGACACCTGTAGCGGGAGAAAAGGATCATCCCTTAAAGGCTTGGACACAGACCCTTTGGCTGGCAATGACATCTCACAGAACGGAAGGACACGGCCGAACGGTGTCTTTCTAACTGAGCTGATTTTGTCCCCACGCCCCCAAAACGAAAGTGCACAAATATACCACCGAGGCTACACAACAGAAAGTTTAACTGGATCGAGCGCCTTTAGGTCAAGGATCCAGAAAGGCTCTCGGTGCCTTGCCAATTATCCTGGCTTTTTGGAAGCTGGAGATCTTTGGCACCCTCTGACAAGGTCATGAGAAAGGAGAGATTCCATGGACGTCCCCTGGAAGCCAACACACCCACATCCCCAGGCCGAACGAAGGAGAGCCTCACCAGCAGGTCGGCGGCCCCCAAAGATGATGCCCTCAATGGGCACCCCTTCCGGAGACTCCCAGGCGGGGTCAATGATGGGGCACTGGCTGGCAGGGGTGCAGAAGCGTGAGTTGGGATGGGCACAAGGTTCCCCTACAATAGCAAGAGAGGAGAGGCCCCTTAGGGTCTTGTCCAGACAAGTAGTGCTTGTAGGCTAGAGCCCCGGGGCCTCCAGAGGGGGCTCACCATCCTGGGGGGTCCACTCCTTGTTCTTCCACGAAGTGATCCTGATGCCTGGGGCTAGCGGCTGGTCGATACCTTCCCAGTAAATGCCCCCATCACTGGTCTCGGCCACATTGGTGAAGATGGTGTTCTTCTGGATGGTCTTGATGGCGTTGGGGTTGGTCTTCACAGAGGTTCCGGGAGCCACACCAAAAAAGCCATTTTCTGGGTTGATAGCCCTTAAGTTACCTGCAAAGTTTTAAACCAGAGAAGTAGAAGTGAATGCCAAACAAAGCCCAACATATATTCTCAGCTCTGGCCAGGCTAATTTTTGCACCAAATTCTCAAGTCTTTTTTTTTTCCCCCTCCTCCCCAGAAGAGATTTCTCTTTTCTCATCCGAGCATTATTTTCTACTTTCACACTTTTACAACCCTTTCTTCCTCGTCCCATTTCTACCAGTACTATTTTAACAAATTGATTGTGTCAACAAGTAGCAACATATGGCTCGATTTCAATCCAGAGTCTATATTAAATTAAAGAATGCTTACACAATACATATTCCTAAGGCTTTGCAAGATGTGAAATAACTAACTTAAAAATCCAAACACTGGATTTGGCAGGATTTGGCACACCTTAAAAGCCAAAAGTTTGCTTAGGTCCAATTATTATTGTCAACCGTTGGGCCTAAAAGAGTCACCTTGTTGGTCAAATCTCATCCAGGCGATGTCATCACCCACACACTCTATTTTCCACCCAGGGAGGCTGGGGTTCATCATGGCCAGGTTGGTCTTGCCACAGGCACTGGGAAAGGCTGCTGCGAAGTACTTCTTCTGGCCCTTGGGGCTGGTTATGCCCAGGATCTGTTGGGGACAAGATTCCTCCTTAATCTGTTCCTTCCTGTCCCTCCTGGTGGTCAGTGGCTCAGTCTAGGAGAGTGCCCAGAAGCCCCCCAAAAAGAGGTTCCCAAGATCTATGTCTTTAGGTATCAAAACGAACTCTTTAAATAATAAAGTCTAAAGGAGCTCCATTGGTCCCATTGCATTTGAAGTGCTTCAAAAGAAGCATTAATAATCATTGGTGGGATTTCTAAATCTGTCCTCCTTGGGGCGGGTCAGGTCTTGCCTAATGGGAGATGCACTTCCGTACATACTCAGACCTCCGTGCCCCCACCTCCGAGTCCCCACCTTGTGCCTGCAGAACTTCCCACATCTTACCAGCATGTGTTCCGCCAGCCAACCCTCTTCCTTAGCCAGCCGGCTGGCCATCCTGAGGGCAAAGCACTTCTTCCCAAGGAGCGAGTTCCCGCCGTACCCACTCCCAAAGGAGATGATTTCCCTGCGGTCAGGCAGGTGCGCGATGAGTGTCAGCTCTGGGTTACACGGCCAGTTGTTCACCAAAGGCTCTGCACAGGAGGACACATCGCGGGTGAGCATGCCACATCCCCACCTGGAGATCCCCAGAGCAAAGGCCCGGGGTTTAAGGCTAAGCTCATTTGTTGCTTGAGCTTCCAATTCTGAAATAATATGCTTACTTTTTAAAGGTAAAGGGCATCCCACAGAATGGAGGCACTTGACGAATTCCCCGTCCCCCAGAGCTTCCAGGACGGCTGTGCCCATCCGTGTCATGATGCGCATGCTGGTCACCACGTAGGGTGAATCCGTCAGCTCGATGCCGATCTTCGACAGTGGTGAGCCCAGGGGCCCCATGCTGAATGGGATCACGTACATGGTGCGACCTGTGGGGGCCAGTAGATGGGAACCGGTGAGAAATGACCCCGCAACCACAGAGCAGGTGAGCCTAGTCTCATGGTCCCCGCTAACAGCATCACACCCTTGCTACCAGCAACCCCCACACCCGATTTTGAAGACTCCACTAGAAAGTGAATGGAATGCCAAAATGAAAGAGTTTTCATAAACATGCAACTGGGTTCTGCCAAGCTATCCTAAATCCCAGTAGTGAGCCAGACATTTTCAATATGCTGCCAGTTTCATACATGAATTTAAAGCTATCTGAGGCCATAGGAGTGTTCATGGCTGTCGTAATTACCATTAGGATGACATAATAATGTTTGCCTTTGCTTTATTTGATTTTTCCCAGTCAAACAAATGTCTCACTCACCTTTCATGCACCCTGGAAATCGGGCTTTGAACGCTTTCTCAAAGTCCTCCTCTGACATCCAGCGACCTAGTTGGCTGAGGCCAGTTTTGGGGATGGGCATGGTATCTCTTTGCTCTTGGGTAATGATGACTGTCTTGCTTTCAATTCTGGCCACATCCCTGGGGTCAGTGAGAGCCAACCAGCTGCAAACATAAAAAAAACACAGGTTAGGAATGGAGAGGGAAGTGCCGCCATCTTGCATTGCATCTGTGCCTGGGATTCCCTTCAGCCAAGTGTCCTGTCTGAATGGGCCGGTCCCATTCGTTACTGTGCTCTTCCCACACCGAGCAGAGGCCGGGCACACTGACGATGTCCCATAACTGTGGACAACCACACCAGCTGGGGCGCCGTCAAGGAGACATTTGCTAGACTACGAGCTTGTCTTTTAGGACAGAGCAGGTCTGACTGTCATTTCTATCAGGGATTTAGTTTGCAAAGAGTGTTTGTATGTACCATCTCATTGCAGACTTGAGCCGCTCGATGAATGTCATTACACTGAAGTCTGTATGGTTCCACCATTTCATTAAGTTTTTCAAGAGTCAACAACCCACCCCAGCCCCCACCGGGTGTTCGTCCACCTCTTGCAGGAGCTGCCCCGCGGTGGCAAAGGGGAGGGTGTGAACGCAGAGGCTGGGGGCTGGCTTACCAGTTGTTGAGCTTCTGCAGCCTCTTGATCATGCCCTCTCCTTCCATTTGGTCCAGCAGCTGCTGGTTCTCCCCCTCGGAGCCATCACAGATGTGGATATGCTCAGGCTGACACAGCCTGACGCTGCTCTCCAGGAATGCTCTCACCGCCTGAGGCAGGCTGTCTAGGGTGCCCTGGATGACTTTGGCTGAGAAGTTGAGGCCGTTTTGGAGCTGAGGAGGCATCTCTGCAGGGTCGTGCTAAGGACCACGGATGCCAAAATTCCCTGAAAGAGAAAACACAGCTTCTTGAACAAAGTAACAGACGCCCTCAAAGAAACTTAACATACTTCATTGGGCGGCGCCTCACAAGACAATCATAGCTCTTAAGGAGAAAAGAAAACGAGTTTGTGTTATCTCTAGAAATGTCAGTTAGATATCTCTACCTACCTTTCTTCTTTTCGGAAGATCTCGATGAGAGATCCAAGGGTTTCTTTTGAGGTTCTTCCCGCTGGTGGACGTGCGTTCCCAGTGGGAGGGCCCCGTTTGCTGTTTGGTAGCAGAAGCTCCTGGCCTTAAATCCCACGGAGGACAAAGGCCCCACCCCTCGGCTACACCCAGGGAGGCTCGTCTCTGACGTCAGGGGCAGGACTATGGATCAGGGCCACAGTCCGTCATGCTTCGGGACTGGCTCACCACAGTAAGCCCCAGGGAGATAATCATTGAACAGATAGTTGTTAATGAGTGCTGGGAGGCCTTTGTCCCCAGACCAGCCACAGCAAGTTCTTACACAACTTGTGATTGACTAAACTTTGACCCAGTTCACTGCTGATGTCAGACACTCTGTCCTCCTACCCACAGGCAGGTGGGACCCTGCAAGGCTGGTGGGGGCACCTCCTGGACAGCAAGGGTTGTTGGCAGCACATTTTGTGTCCTGCTGGGTGGCAGAACACAGTCAAGACCTAGGGGAAGGATGTGCCCAAATGTAAGTGAACACATGGCTCATTGGCAAAAGTCAGACCTCGCTGGGGGCTAATAATCTTACCGAGCGTCCCCTGTGTGCCCCCCCCAATATAAACTCTGCGAGGGCAGGAATCTCTGCCTATTTTGTTAATTTTTGTATGTACAGTTCCCAGCATATAGTAGGCCCCGAACGAGGGAATGCCAAGCATTGTTCTAGATGCTTTGCATCAACTGACACATTGCCACCTTCTGAGCCGGAGCCTATGAACAGCCAATGAACAGACAAGGAAACTGAGGCATAGAGAGTCCAAGTGGCTACTCCCAGCTCCTGGTTGTAGGGTGATCGAGGGTAGATTGGAACATAAGCCAGCGGGGCTCTGGATCACCCCACCATAGTGTCCCTTGTGAGGTGCCATTTCCTTTTCTGGAACTTCCCATGTATTCTCTAAGCAGTTTCTGGGCTGGATGCAGTTACCCGCAGAGATAACTACACACTTCTCATTGCCCTTGCAAGTCTGAGCGTCTGGGGAGTGAAGGGGGCTTGGTGGTTTTGCTAGATTACGCTTGAGCAATGAGACCTTTATGCCGGCTATAAAGAATTTGCTCTGCAAGCCGTAAGAATTTCAGTCCAATTTAATGAACTCTGGAGCTGTTTGCTGGCATTTCGAGAGCACTGGGTAAGAAGTCAGGAGCACAGGGCCAGGCCTCCACTCTCTGCAGGCAACCCAACAGTGCAGTCAGTGGGCACCTTGAGGCTGGGTCGGGATTTGCCTGCCGCCAGCATGGGATATGCAGAGATAATTCTGTGACTGTGTCTGTAAGGAGCTGCAGAAATACAAGATTCTGGGAATGGCAATCTCAGACCAAGAGTATCTAAAGGACTACCCAGTAAGCCTTAGTTCCCACAGCAACATTAGGTATACACATGTCACCATCTTCCACCGAAATTATCAACCCATTGCAATGTCTCATTTACTCAGATTCTTATTCAACCCAATGAATCTCTCAGTATAAACACCATATGAGAGATTTTCATGTAGTATAAAATTATTTCCCATTTAGGTGACTGGAATTCATCCCTAGTGGCGCTGTCAACCATATAAGTTTGTGTCATGTCTAAATTCAACCACAACGTAATGCTCAGTTGCTGAGGGACACTTTCTTAGCATCTGACACCAGTGAAATTAGCCATTCAAATGCACGGCCATAAACACGCAAACACACGCATTTATGCCAATGCGGTCCATCTCACCAAATGGGTAGAGATTCCCATTTTGCTGATAAAACTGATGGCTTTCATTCCCTTGAAGAGTATATTGATTGAAAACAAAAATGAGAAACCAGAACTTATTTGCAGTTCTAAATGCTAACCATAAATTCAAGGTGTTTATGTTCAGAATCTTCCTGGAGAGAAATAGCTAGCTCAATTAAAATGTAGGAGCAGTGGGCCACCATCGTCCCTTGGCCAACTGCTTAATTACCCACACTGACCTCAAGGAAGGTTGGCATGAGTCCTTTGCAACTGTCCCTCATCAAAATAACGTGGAAAGGCAAACATTGGGTTGCAGATTAACCTGAAAGTGCTGAATTTGTTAGAAGAGGGTGATGCAGACAGAAGCGAGGGTGTCGAGGATGCAGGGCAGAAGTATGGACAAAGTTCACTTAGCCTTCTGTTGATAGGACCCCAGGGGAGGCTGCCTGCCCCAAAGGGGTCTTTGCAACTAGAGATGGTCTCCCGGTGTGAGCTGCATTTGTCATTTCTGGGGTAAACGCCATGGGGACCCCCTAATTTTTCAAGGGTGGCTGAAGGTGCAAGACTGCTCCTCTTTTTAGCAACATATAAAAAGTGGAACCCAGACAAAATTGTTTTTGTTGGAAGAAGGAGAAGGAAACAGTAGACACTGGAAAAAAAAAATAGTTTCAAACCCCAGAGTTAACGTCTTCACTTCTCCTTGTGAGGTTCCACACACACGTGTAGCTGTGGAAGCTGCGGGCTGGCTGTCCCCAGGGTCCAAGGAAGGAGCGAGCAGGACTCTGGAAAGCCTGTGTGGAGTGGGGCAGCAGAGAAGGCTAGCATGGAAACCAGATGGCTGTCTAGAGCTGCCAAGACTCAAATGGTGTGAGCAGGTAAGGGTGGGGGCGGGGAACGGCTGCCTTCCAGGTAAACAGTGGAAAGGAAACCATGCACTTAGGTGGGGTCTCACAAAGGATGCTGAGGACAGTTTGATGGAGACATATATTGGTGGTTTCTTCGTTATCTGAGAGCCAATTAAAAACAAACAGACAGGAATTCCAAAGACCATCAACACCAGTGTGCGGACTTCCTGCAGAACTAAGAGATGCTCGGAGGGATTGTGGGGGAAGGTGGATTCCACTGAGACACCCCACAGCACGGCGGGGAGGGGGAGACCCAGTGAGACGTTCCCAGAGCCTTCTCACGCACAGCAGTCCTGACTTCATCTGTGGTGTGTATCAGGCTTCCATACTGGGTCTTTGTTTGAACAAGGAATTCCACAGCCAAAACACACTGGGAATCCACCAATCACAACCAATTCCTTCCTTGGAGAAGTGAAACAGCTGAGACCCAGAGGATGCAAATAGGACATTTTCCCAAGCTGAGGCTCTTAACTGCAAGATCAGGGCCTCCCCTCTCCATCCCACCACTGATCGGGGTGACCACAAAATGCCCCTCAGTTCAGGAATCTGAACTCGTAGGAAAGCATGACCCTTTCTTGGTAAAGACGGAAAGGGAAGGTTGTTTTCCAGAAGGTGATAAGAAACTAGCGGTGTAAATCGCATGTCTTGTGCTGGAGCCAAAGGTCTATGCGCAAGTCAACTCTGGTCTCTGTTGCCAGGATGCTACTCCGTGGGCATGGACTGGCCCAGCCATGGAAGTTTCCAAACAGCGAGAAAACATGTTCAGCTGTACCATGACCTGCCATGGAATCATTTGCCAGCGCAATCCCAGGTGTGTTTGTTAGGGACAAATATTTACATGTTCTCCATTTATGGGGTAATCCTAACGTCTTTGCAGTCTGGAGGGTATTTTTACAGTTGAATGAGTTGAGTTTCTATTTTGGAGCCATAGAATCATGTAATTGAAAGGGTCCTTAAAATGTTACGTTAATCCAGCTTAATGGGTAGGGGGTCTCCTCTGGGGATGATGACAATGTCTTGGGACTAGACAGAGGTGGGGGATGCACACAGCACTGTGACTGTACTAAAGGCCACTGAATTGTACACTTCAAGATGGTTGGGTTTATGTTATGTGCATTTTGCCTCAATTAAGAAACAAAAAAGATTCTGTAGCCCAATCTTTTATTTTGAAGAATGTGGGAACAATGAACAGGTGTAGGGAGCAGGTGTATGGGGGAGGTTTATCAGAAGCCCTCTCTAGGATGCAGGCAGGTATCCCACACCCTCCTACTCAACCATCACCCCATGACCTAATCCTTTCCACTTCTCTCAATGGCCTTGCGATGTCTCCAGACCTTGATCGTGGGCTGCATGCACACTCACCCAGCAGAGACGACAATTTCTATCATTTGAGAATCTTCCTTCAGGAGGGTGACGATGTTGTTTGTATATTCTTTCCACGACGAAGAAATAAAAATGAATCTAGAGGTAAACCACTGTGCTGGGTGCATGTTAATAAAGCATGATTTTTGCCACAAAGATGTGCCCCCAAGACGTGTTCAATGAATGTTAATAACCAGGTGTTAGAACCTTTTCAGAGGGCTGGTTATCTCCCATTTCAATCATTAGTGACCCATGGAAATAGTGACTCCATAAAATCTTGTTGATTTTCTTCGGCGATGTCTCTGTCAGGTTTATGGAGAGGCATAAAGGAGCTCTGGCCATGCAGAAATGATTCACAGGGTGGATGGACTCCAGTGTGAGATGCCACATCCATCCGGTGAATGACTTCGCCCTTCAGAGAGCAGTGTCATCTCTGCGGGACGCCAACACTGAGACAGAGGCCGCAGCACCGGGCCACGACGGCTGAGTTGCCCTCAAAGTCAGGACGAGCAGATTCTAGAACTGCTCGCGTGGTTTGCCCCCCATTGCTCTCTACCCGAGGCCGTGTGAGACAGTGACACCGCTTTGCCCAAGCCCCTTGGGTGGAATGGTCTGTAGTCTGCCGCCCAACACATCCTAAGTGAGACGAGGATCCCTCTCCCAGTCGGCACAGAACCCAGACTCAGGAGCCCTGGGTTGACTCCAGAGCCAGCTCCCCTGGGAATCAGACCACCCTCTTCGCCTGCACAGCGTACAGGTGGATAAGATACGCACCAAGGCCGTTTCCAGCCATAAAGTCCTGTTGGGTTATCGCCACTCACATTTGCCGTCACAGATTCTGAGATCGGCGGTGGCTTTGGTCTCATCTTATTTCCCTCTCACCTACTTTGGAAGACTGGTGACACTGTGTTTGCTAAGCCTCTCTTCATGTCAGAGGCCAGGGAGGTCTTTGTTCCTGTTAAAATGGGAAGTCAGGGGTGCCTCGGTGGCTCAGTTGGTGAAGCGTCTGCCTTTGGCTCAGGTCATGATCCCGTGGTGCTGGGATCGAGTCCCACGTCAGGCTCCCTGCTCAGTGGGGAGTCTGCCTCTCCCTCTCCCTCTGCTCCCCCTGCTTGTGCTCTGTCTCTGGCTCTCTCTCTCTCTCAAATAAATAAATAAAATCTTAAAATAAAATAAAATGGGAGGTCAATATCACAGGCCAGGTGGTGTAGGTACACAACTACATTGGGTGGGAAAAGACGGCTAATGGGGATAAGACAAAACAAAATGAAAAACTCACATTGGCCCTAAGTTTTTAGAACTCTGGCTTAGCTCTCCCCCTCAGGTTGCATGCTGTAGACCCAGGTTTTGGCCCAAATCACCAACCTCCCACCTTCCTTTTTGTTTCAAAGCTTTGTTGGCATAGGACTTTTAGTGTGGACGGTGTTAGCTGTGTGGCAGGGCCCTGTGGATCTGTGTACTCTCGTCCATTCTCCAGAATGACCTACGTAAGAGCTCGTTCTAGATGAGCAGAGGGACAGATGTCCCCGGACGGGTTGTTTCTCCTCGACGATCTCCCTTTCCTCATTTCTAACCTGAGATGGCCCTTCTGCCTCCCAGGGCTGACTTCAGGAACTACAGAGGAAGCCAGCCCATGTTCTCAGTCTGCAACACGCAGAGTGAGAACAGGTTTGCCGTGAAATACTGTTCCCAAAACACTCACCCAGAAAAGACTGCAGCGCCCGGCAAAGTATGGGGGCAAAAAGAACTAATTGCATAGTTACCACAAAAACAATCCAACACACTTATTTCGCAGCGAGAAAATGGATCCACTTTGTGGCACAGTTAACTCAATTGGAAATAATGATAGCCCCTCTGGAACTGAACACCACCCTCCCCTTGTGCTCACTGATAACTATGCAAATTCTTCCCCTTGCCTGTAATGTGGGGGCTCAGAACGAAAATGCCTTTTCTGGTCCGTGCTGGGAATAATTCCTGAAACTCAGTAAATCTTAACACACTCTCAGCTCCTCTCCCAAGGGGGGGGAGGATTCATACCACGGAGACTCAATGACACAGTCCCCGGGGTGGGGGGTCCAGCCAGCGCATCTCATCAGGGGCTGGGGGGGGGGGGTTCTAACTTAGCTGTGGAGCCTTGAAATCTTTCCAAGTTGAATTATATAGAAATTGAGGCCCCCCAGGACTGCTGTTCTCATATCCTGGAACAGAAGCAAAGCCTGTCTCACATGCAGAAAACCCTGTTTGTGTGAACAAGGACCAGAGTCTGGTGGGAAAAGATGCCTGCCCGTAAGCCCCCTTCCCCAAACTGGCCTGCATCGCTTTGAAGAGATAACCAAGTAAACTAAGTGGTAAAGGGGAAAAGAAACATTCATTTTTGTGTTTTGGATATTTAAAGAAAAAGTGTGATTGTTGTGGAGGCATGAGAAATCTGCGATGGGTGCACGGAGTCACCAGCCCACAGGGGCGGGGACAATTCCTCTTGTCAGGAAGTTGGTGTCTGAGGCAGGAGCCTGGGAGGCAGTGGGTGGGGGGCCCTCCGTGCGCAGTAGACTCTGTGATCCTTTCATTTCCAATCAGGTTGACTTCTGTCCTGCAGTTCTTCTGCTGAAAGCGGGTGAGATTATGCCCATTTTCGTTTCCTGGCTTGAGCAAGGAAGCTGTGAGGTAAGAGCCCTCTTTCTGAACCCTTCTCTGCCTTGTCCAGAGCTGGCGTGGGCCGGGACCGGCAGGGTCTAGGGCCTGGTCATGTCTCAGGGTCTGGCCTCAGCTGCCCAGCCCCGTGGGCTCACTCTGAAGGCAACAGGGCCAACCGTTCCAGGCTGGAGAGCGGTCGCAGGGAGGGGCTTTCAGACGCCGACTCCCATACAGAGGCCGATCAACCTCACGTAGCAATTGATTCTATCTGGCCATTAAGGTCATCAGAAACAGGGACTGGCTCCACACTTCGATCTAGCAGATAGGGCCCATGGTGTCCTTGGGGAGGCAGTGAAATGTAGCCAACGGCATGCACGCCCCAGGCAAACACTTGCATTCGTCTCTTGACCACGTGGCCCTCGTCAACTCACACCCTCTCTTTGCTTCCTCGGTTCCCTCTGCTGTTAGCCGAGGACAATTACAGTACTTGCTTCGTGGGGCAGTCATGAGGATCAGATCTGGTAACTGGACAACAGCGTTGGCAGCATTGAGCCAACACTCATAAATGCCCGAAGGAACAAAGCACCATCTTTATGGGCGCAGATTCTTTTACTGGCTTAACGATTGAATTCTCTGGGGTGCTAGGCATGGGAAGGAGGGGACAAGAAAGCAAAGGCAAAGTCCCCGAACTTCTAGGAGTCTGGGTTCTCCCTTCCTTCAACATCTTCCACACCTCAAGCCACGCCTGGCACGTAGTAGGTGCTCAGCCAATGTCCGGGGGACAAGTCCTACACACACGGGAGACACCAATCACTAAGCACCAAGTGCACTGTGCCGACAGTAAATATACCCAATAAATGTACCCGCTCCCTAATAAATCCCTAACCATAGAATGATGGCAGTATCACATCTGGTTTCTGTTTAACTTTTTCCACACGCTTTCCTGGCTCCTCGTCTTCTCTCTCATTTCCTTGACTCAGATTTATGTTATTATGCGTGCGGAAGAGCCGGCTCCTTTCTCACTCCCGATGCTGCAGCTCCCCCACTCATCAGCTCCCCAGAGCACGTACTGCTTGGACTCACTCGAAGCCACCCTGAGCAGGCGTTTGTCTGAGCTGCGTCGTTTACTTTTCTGGAAGTCCCACGGCGCTTTCTCATAACTGCGAGCATCAAGAGCCGGGAGACGGACGCGCCTTCGATGAAGTAGGTGCACTGCATAGAGCCTAAGCCGTTTTAAAAAGCCCTGAGTTACGGCCGAACAGGCTCCTATTAGCAGAACGCGGGAGCTCATTGTGAATAGTGGTAAACACTTCTGGTGGGAGACGGGTCTTGACAGCGCTGATGAATGGCTAGAATCATTCTCCACCTGCCCGACTCACTCCAACCTCAAGCTGCTGAAAATACCCTTTTCCACTTGCCCTTTGCTAAGTGCTGAGGCACGAACAAAAGTCCATTCCCGAGCTGGGTACCTAATTTTTATTAATAATATCTTCACTCTATCAGTCATTGTTAACTAACGGGAACATTTGAAGAAATTAATTTAAGCCTGGCGAGAGGAAACATGGCAGCTCATTACAAGTCCCCTCCCCAGTGAATTCTGCAGCACTCGCTGCATCACAAATATGCACAGTGACTCAGGCTGGCCCAACTTGACTTCCTCCCACAGAGGACACTTTCTCCTTCAGAGAGCTGCTTCCTCTACTAGGGGCTGTGCTAAAGCTGCTTAATTAAGGTTTAACCTTAATCAACCTGCTAATAATACAGGTTTCTGGATACCCCACCCCATCCCCCAGAAGTCTCGCAGTGGCCGCGGCCCCTGGCGATGTGGGTGCCGAGAAGGTGGTTTCGGGGCGGGGGGGGAGGGACGGAAAGGGGGGATGAGTTCTGTGGGCGGGGCTCAGCTGCCCCGTCTCAAGAATTCACTTGACACCGAGGTGGACCTTTTGCAATTTGGCCTCTACATTCTTGCCCAAGGGTGGAGAGCAAAGGAACAGGAAGATAGGGATGCAGGAAAGGCTAACTTCCAGGCACCGGAGCAGGCTCTTATATCCCACGTGCCCCGGGTACCCTTCCCAGAAACCCGCTTCTCCAACCCAGACTGAACATTGCCAACTGAAAAGCCCAATGTTTGTCTCCCCGGACCTGTAGCATCTTGGGTACAAGACAGCTGACCATACAGCAGCCCTCTGGAGGATCATGTTTGATGCAGAAAACAAAGGTGGAAGGAAAATGATTACATTCCCTTACTATCTACAGCCCATTGACAAGTCCTTGAAACAGGCAGAGTGACATTCCCCTAGGGACTCACCTGCCTCCTTGTGGATACTTTGCTAAGGGCAAAAGGCAATCTTAAGCCAACCCCCAGGATCCTGTAAGTCTACTTTAACATATAAAAACTCCTTTGGAAATTTCCTTTATCTTTACCCCCCAAGATACATGTTGGCAGTCACCCCCCAAGCATATGGCCCACCGATAGACATCTGAAGGGTCTCAGGACTGAGTTTTTACTTAACAATAATAAATGACCTTTCCTAACAATAGCCAGCCCCCTCAGGATCCTAGAAACCTTGTTTCCAAAATACCTGGGAGGCTTACACTATCCCTAACCCCCCTCCCCGCTTGAAAGTATATACCGGGCCACTCCTCATGACCCAAGTGCGGCTCTTTCTGCCCACAGGTCCCGTCCCCGTGCTTTAATAAAACCACCTTTTTGCACCAAAGGCGTCTCAAGAATTCTTTCTTGGCCGTCGGCTTCGAACCCTAATGTCTTCCCTACATCAATGTTTATTTCTATGCAGCCAACTCCAACCTCAGGATGAAAGTTCAAAGAGCTGCAGAAGCATTCTAAGCATTGAGCATTTAAAAAAAAAAAAAAATCGTGAGGCGCCACAAGCCAGCGAGACTGGATTTTCAGTGAACTGCCCTGTGGTGGTAAATGAAAAATTCAGGCGCCTTGGGTCGAAACACGTTCTTAAAATATGTGTGTTTGGTGATTTATATCAAGTACTTCTGCGTTTAGACATTCCTGCATACATTTTGGAATGTGTGAAACCCATTCGAGCAGTCTTAAGGCTTTGTTTTTTTCTTTCAGGTGAAAATCCCAGGTGTCCTTTATGTTCAAATGAGTCTTCACGGTTTCCTCTTGCAGAGAGACGGCGATGAAATAATTGCGTTCAGTAGGCAACCACATATAAAGTAGCTCATGTGAATTATTAATGATAAATTCTTTGGGGAAAAAAAAACTTCTTGGACTTTCTTTGTTGTACTTTTAACAATTGAATGCGATGCTCATCAGATGTCTTCTTGCGAGCTGTCACATTATTTAAATGAAGGCATGTCTGACAGTTCCAGAGGAGCGTGCTCGGTAAGTA